TTTTAAAACCTTGTTATATCTGAGCGGCTTTAAAAGCCAGTTTAACTGTTTCAGGGCAACCGCGGTACAGACGTGGTCTCTGTGAGACTTCCACCTGACCCAAGTTTTAAGTGGTACGAATGTTGTGCATTTAACGTTAAGGACAGTCTGCAATAATAAAGTAAGTAGCCAACGTGGGTGCCCAGCAGTGCTGAGACCTGGCTGCTCTATTGTAAGCTTTGAAAACACAATTTATGCAACAGATGTCCAGATATGATTCTATTTATGGAAAAAGTTTATATGTTTTACAAATGGTTTTACCATCTTATATTAAATGACCTTTTGACAGGTGTGCACTGTTTTGTCCAGTGAGCACATACCATGAGGATTTTATATGTACATCAGTAGTGTGAATCCACTGGCACAGTGTGTGTAAATGCCAGATGTGGTGAGATTTTATCTTGTATATGTGACCAGATAAAAAACTCCTGACAGAAACTGTAAGGAAACCAGCTGAATGTTTGACCTGATGACTGATGTTGTATGGGTTTATGTTAAATGTATATTCTTTTAATCAATGAATAAAGCATTAAAAAGTGACCATTGTAATGTATTTTATTGTATATGAAACACAAACTGTCAATGTTTAAATAAAAATCTTAGGCAAAATAGTTTAAAAAGTTTAAGTTTTTTCACTTTGGGAAAAGGCAAGCTTAGAAACACTCTTAAGTCAAGCATTATGACACACTCCTATAATCTTGGGTCTCAGAGACAGAGACAGGCAAATCATAAGTTCAAGGTCAATGTCTTAGTTACTTTTCTGTTGCTGTGACAAAATACCATGACCAAGGCATCTTATAGAAGAAAGTGTTTAATTGGGTTTGCAGCTTCAGAGGGATAAAGTCCAATGTGGTGGAAGAAAAGCATGGCAGCAGGAAAATCTGTAGGAGGCAGGAAGAGCTGAGCACAGCACAGGTCTTTTGAAATCTCAGAGGCTCATATCTTAGTGACTGTTTACTCCTGTGAAGATACACCATAACCAAGGCATCTCCTATAAAGGGAAGCATTGAACTGGGGCTTCTTTACAGTTTCAGCGGCTTAGACAATCATCAACATGTGAAGACAATGACAGCCTGCAGGCAGGCATGGTGCTGAAGAAGTAGCTGAGTTTTACATCCTTGTCCTCAGGCAATAGCCTGGGCCAGGGGGTGGGGTATAGACTTGGCCTGGCATGGGCTTTTGACACCTCAAAGACCATCCATCCCCAGGGGCAAAACACCTCCAACAAGGCTAATCTTCAGTCAGTCTACTAACTGGTGAGCAAGCATTCCAATATATGAACTATTCTCACTCATACCGTCACACCCACCCTCAGTGACAGGCCTCCTAATCCTTCCCCAAGAGTCCCACCAACTGGCCACCAAATATTCAAACATAAGTCAGTGGGGCCATTCTTATTCAAAGCACTACAGTCATCTGCTGGTGCATAGTGAGTTTGAAGTCAGTTTTGGCAGTTTCAGACCCTACCTCAATAAAAAAGGGGCACTAGACTGCTTAACAAAATCTCAAAAGTAATATACACTATTGGTAATTTAAACGTGCTTTTCCTTTTAAATTTATTAGATGTAGAAATTATTACCACTGTTAAATACTTAACTAAGCCTTATTATGGCTGTCTTAGTACGATCTCCATTCTTGGTCCTTGAGACTAACAGCTACCATTCAAAGGGAATGAAAATAGCTTCTTTATTATTTCTACTTTTCTTTATAGTTCTATAGGCGAACTTCTTCGGCACTGATTCCTCTTGGAGTTGTCTAGTGCTTTTTGAGTCTTTATTTCCCAGACAGATCTGACAACTTTGAGTGACTCAGCATGTGTGTATGTGTATACATGAAGTGTACCCATGTGTTTGCAACAGGAAAGAGTAAAGATGACTGGCATCCAATTGAAGAAATACTGAACTGAAAGGCTCAACTTGATTCTGTCTCAGTCTGCCTCAGCACAAACTCCTCAGTCAGTTTCCTTATCTCTTAGATAAGAACTGGATTTGGTGCCAAATAGTGACCCTGTTAATCCTAGCAAGATCTCTTTGAGGCCAGCTATACCACACAGTGAGTTCTAGCACAGAAGAAAGGAGTTACAGAATAAAGCCAATTAGGCTAGGCTTGTCAGGCCTAGTACAGAGGCCACTGTGTAAAGCTATGAAGGTAAAGCCTGGCTTGCCTTGGAGAACCCACGTGTTAGAGATGCCAGAGTCGAGGGACACATGCCAAGGGGAGCTGCTAACAGGGAATGCAACTAGCCTGAGAGAGAAGTGCATTGTAATCAACAAAGCTGAAGAGTGTTTTGACATCACACAGGGAGATGTACAGTTTGGAGTTGCCTGGCTGGTTTTCGGTCTTGTTTTGGTCCAGTATATGCTCACAATACTCCCTTCCCTATGTTTTGGAATGGTAATGTATATCCTGTGCCATTGTAAGTTGGAAGTTTGTGATCTGCTGTTTGATTTTGATTTTTTACAGGTGATTACACTTAAGAGATTGTATGAATCTCAGAAACAACTTTGAACAATTTTATTGTTGAGACACTGATACACTAGGGATTTTCAGAGTTGGACTAATTGCATTTTGCATTCTGATATTGTTACAAAGGTCTGGGGGCTAGTGAGTAGAATGTGGTAGTTTGAATACAACTGGCCCCCATAATTTCACAGGGAGTGTCACTGTTAGAATTGGAGTGGGTGTGGCCTTGTTGGAGGCAGTGTGACACTGTGGGGGCAGGCTCTGAGGTTTCCTATGCTCAGAATACCACCCAGAATTTCAGTAGTCTTCCCGTTGCCTGCAAGATGCAGGACTCTCGGCTGTTCTTCCAGCATCACATCTGTCTGTATGCCACCAAACTCTGAAACTGTAAATGATCCACTCCAATTAAATGTTTCCTGTATAAGAGTTTCTGTGGTCATGGTGTCTCTTCACAGCAATAAATCCCTAACTATAATACCATCCTACCACAGGACACTTGCTCTACTATGTTCTAGCAGCTTTATTTTTAATAGCCAGAGACTGGAAACAATCCATAGACACACTAGACAACTCCAAGAGGAATCAGTGTCTGAGAAGTTGGCCTACTGAACAAAAAAGGAAAGTAGAAACATTAGAGAAGCTAGTTTCTTTCCCTTTGAATGACAGTTGTTAATCTCAAGGACCAAAAACAGAGATCATATTAACACAACAATAATAGGGCTTAGCTTGATGCTAAGAACAAAATTATGACTGAGCCAGAAACTGGGTCACTAGGATTCACAGACCAGGAAACCAAAATTTAGTATATAATTACTACAGGCCTGAAGCACTTAAATCATAAATTTGATTTCTTGACTGGCAAATTTCAGGACAGATAAATATGGGACAATTATGCATATATTTATGTGCATAACACAATAGTATACTAGAAATATAAATAGCTAAGAGAAAGTAAGATACAGGTCCAGAGAGAGAAAGAAGTGGTTTAAACAGAGATATAATGATGTCAAGATTACAAAGGTTTTAATATTAAACTTGATTGTAAATAAATACCAAATTATAAGTCCTTCCTTCATGGAAACAATACATAACACTGACAAATTTGCTACATCAAGTAATAAAATCGGAATGAAGTAGTACAAGTTCATGTTATAAAAATCTAGAATTGGATCAGGGGAAACAGTGAATTCAGTGCAAAGATTTTCTTTCTGTCTAGGGAAGAACACTGACCACTGTTCCCAATGACACTCAGGAAACATTCCAGTCACAATCATACTGCTATGCTAGAGAATGTTATTTACCCCATCCCTTGACACCAAAGAAAGACCCAAGTGAAAACCACAGGCTGAACACACCAGCAGGAAATTCACTGGTTGGGTCTCACTCTCTCCATTCCTACCAGTGTGCCAGACCAAGTCTGAAAACACTTGAACTCCCTACCTCAGAAAGAGGGGCATCATGGCAGTTACACTGTGGCAACTCTCTTAACACAGCCCACAGAAAGCAATCACCATCTTACAAGTTAAGAATAAAATGACAGGGGTGGTGTTAAACACTCTTAATTCCAGCACTCCATGGGCAGAAATAGGAATATCTCCAAATTCAAAGCCAGCCTGGTCAACACAGCAAGATCCAAGACAACCAGGGTTACACACAAGACCCTCAAAGAAATAAAATCAATAAATGCATATAGTTAAAGTGAGAGAAAGAGAAACTATGTAAGAAAGCCAGTCAGTAGGACTGGCAAGATATAGAGGAAAGGGCTCACTGTGTGAGCCTGAGATGTCTGCAGAACCTACAGTAGAAAGATAATCTTCCAGTAGTCCTCTGATCACCATATACCCTGCATGAGAGTGGGCTTGTGTGTGCCTGCTGGTGTACTCTCTCTCTCTCCCTCTCTCTCTGACAGACACACATTGTTTTTGAACTGTGAAAAGAAAAATAATGAACTAAGTTAAAATTCTGAAATTCATCATTAGACAATATACCTGCTTTCTTTAAAATATAATTCATATTTAAGTTTTTAAAGTTTATTACTTTATTTTGGGTCATTCATATCTAACTCCAAGAGTAAAGTACACATTTTGTAAGAAAATCAAATCAGAAAAACCATGAATGTATTCCCTTTTTTATATAATTTATGTGTGCAGATGTTTTGTCTACATGCATGCCTGTGCACTATACACATGCCTGTGCATTATATGCATGCCTGGTGCACTACATGTATGTCTGTGCACTACATGCATTCCTGGTACACTAGGAGGCAGAAGAGGCCATTGGAGACCCCAGAGTTGAACTGCCATGTGGATGCTGGTAACCAAGCCCATGTCCTCTGTTCTGGAAGGGCAGCCAGTCTTCACCACTAAGCCACCATCTCTCCAGTTGCAGACACTTCCCTTTTGACCCACTGAATTATTGGTATAGGTAAGAAGAGTAATTTATGGAACCATGTTTATGTCAAACTGGCTGGTTTTCTTATTATCAATGCCAAACAGGACTTTAAATCAATTAACATTTATTTGATTAAACATACAGTTACTTTTACATTTGTCTACAACCATGGTGAACTCATTCCTGGTATAAAGACACAGCATTTGGGGTTTAAGATATACCTAACTATAAGATTACATGTATGAAACTACCATAATTATGGATGAGGAAATCAAAGTAAAATATACTATCCAGAATAAAATAAAATAGAAATAATTTACTCATAAGATTCATAGTTAAATTCTCTTTATTTACAAAATGCTATTCCATTACACAACAATATTTGAGCAACAATATACTCACATAAGAACAACATCTAAAAAGAAAATGAATGCTGAAGAATCTACCAGGTCTCCTTTCTTTCCTGAGGTCCAGGTGCAGTCTGGAGGTTCAGATGGAGGTTGTTAGGAAGGCTGAATCAAGTCTAGGGCAGCTCATTTCTTCTTTCTGGATGTGGGGTGGGAGGAAGAACCCAGCTCTTGGGGGAAGGTAAGGTGGAAAGCCCCTCGTTTGGTCCACATTTCTCCCTGTTGGAAGATATGGGTAAAGGACAGTGGAAATTTAAACCCTGTAGTGCACACTTGTTGAAACACTAGCTCCAGCCCCTATTCTGATATCCAAACACTCAAGCCACAATACTTGATCTCACAAATAAATCTTGACATTGAAAAATGTACTTCTTAACTACATAGAATTAAAAAGAACATTACCATCAGTTTCAGGTACGCAACACACTCAAGACTTACTGTAAAACAGCTTTTCAATGGAGTAAGAGTTTCAAACTTAAGATTGCAATCGTGAACGTGACCTGACATCCTACTAAAACATTTCCTGTAATGCTAGGGAACACTAAACCTTCCCACATAAAACTCATTTCACTCACTTAGAAGTTTAAGAGTAGAGGTGAGGCTTATGAAGCACGATTTATCCCATGAGCCACCTTCCCCGCCCGAGATTTAATACTTTTAAAAGCTTATATATGAATGAAGTAAGTAACACAAATTTAATAGAGATAATAAGAATATTCAGCCAATACATATAACCTATAAACCCAATTTCTAAATATTTTCTTAATCAACAGCAGAAGATGTCAGCATAACAAGAAAAGGTAAAAATCACAATTTTCTTTCTTTATTGGCTAAAATACTGGAGGACAAACACATGGAGTGTTAACATATATTACAAATCTGTGTATCTTCAAGAATCATTTGAAATGAGACAAATGACACAACAGCAATAAAAGTTATTAAAAGCATTTGAATTTCCAATTAAGTATGAAATCGTGGTCAACAAGTCACTAAAACCAACGAGCCATTACCATGATCTGATTTTCTTTATCATTTAGGACTTGCTCTGCCTGTACTTTGGATTCTTCAAGTGTTACTTTCTGTTTATTGAGTTCATCAGCTTCTTCTTTCATTACTTCAGCTTCCTGTAAGAGCTGACAGGAAAACAGTAACAAGGATGTGAAAGATAACACATGTTTAGATGCATTTATTTACATGTTTATATGGATCATTAAAAGATATTGAAAAGGTAGGGCTACTACTAAAAAGGAACTCAGATGTGGCTCCCTTTTATAAAAAACTTTCAAAACAGAAGACAGTGAAATAACAAATATTCTCCAGCTGATTTACAAGGTAAAGTTTTATGACGTACAAGATTTTGACACATACTTGTCTGATAAATCTAGTCAATTCTTCTTCCTATCCCATGTAATCATTACTTTAATGATTTTTTTTAGTCATCATGCTGCGTTGTTCAGGATTGTCTGAAGACAGGTAACCCTCAAGAATACTATAAAAAAAAAAAAAACAGAGATTCTGCAGGTGCTCTGAGCCAGAGCTGCACTATGAGTTCCTGTCTAGCTTGGACTACATACATGGTCGAAGTGAGGAGGAGGCATATTTGATTACAGCATGAGAAATCTACACAAGAGTCCTCACGACCATGTTCTCTGAAATCTAAGATAACACAACAAAGACATAAAAGGAAAAGGCATCAACCCCAAAAGGAAATGGACAAATAGCAAGAAGGGACACAACTATGATAAAAAAAACTCCACAGACAATAGACAGAAGAAACCTAAGCCGGTTAGGCAAACAGAAAATAAGATGATTTCACACAATCCAGAAAGGCTCATGATTTGGAAGCAGTAGTAACAGAGGGATGAGTGGAAACCTTTAGAGTGAAGCCTTTTACTTGCCAGCCACTTTGGTTTTTCCCCACCAGTTGCCTGGGCTCTGCTGCATTGGAGTCCCCAAATAATACACAAGATGCTGTATTAATTATTAAGCTGTTGGCCTTGCTTGTTTCTTACTGGCTAGCTCTGACTTAAGTATTTACCCCTTAACTGCCAATCTAAGTATTTCTCTTACCGGAGAAAAGAGGGTCTGTGCTTCTCACCCCTATGGCAGTTCCATCTTGACTCCCTGTGTTTCCCCTACCCAAAGTCCACCTGGGCTCCTAGTCCCACCTATTTTGCTTCCCTATTGGCCAACAGTGTTTTATTGACATATACATCAGAAACCAAACAGGAAAAACTGGGAAACTGCAGAGACAGTTGAGTAGTTAAAAACACATACCACTCTTGCAGAAGACCCACACTCAATTCCCTGCACCTGCACTAAGAAGCTCACAAGTGCCTATAATTCCAGAGGATCTAATGTCCTCTTCTGGCCTCCATGGGTGCCTGCACACATACACATATACCAACACACAGATGCACACACATACATGCTCCTGCTTTCTCTCCTTTCTCCCTCCTGCTCTTTATTCTCCTAGACATGCATATACAGATCTCATTCTCTGCTACACATCTCTTATCTTTGTTTCTTTTATGCATACATATAGCTGGACATTTCATTCTTACTGGTGAGCTTCAATACTGCTAGAAGGTGTTATGCATACATCAGAGGGAAAAAGTAATCATCAATGTCACTTACCTGCGAACCATGCCAGCTACAATAACAAACAGGCACAATGACAAATACCTACAAACCCCACAATTGGGAGGCTGAGTACCACTGTGAGTTCCAGGTCACCCTGAACTACACTAGAAGACTCTCTCCAAATAAATAATAATAATGATAATGATAATAATAATAACAATAATAGAAGTTTAAATGAACAAATGAGCCAAGGCAGTTGACTGAATGCCATTTCCACAGATAGACTACAAATACGTATTACAGGAAACCAAGCAATTATTAACAACAGGAAAATAAAACATTGGGCAACACAGAATGTACAGTCAAATCAAAAAGACTACTATAAAGAGACTCATAATGATGTGATCAGAAATTGTCACACTGCTAGGGTGGGAAGATGGTAAAAGGTAAAAGCTCTTACACAAGAGAAAAGGGACAGTATGTCTTAAACAAGGTGAAAGTAAGGACCAACACCAAGCCATGACCTGTGCACAGCTGAACTCTCACACCACACACACACGCACACGCACATGCACACACACACACACACACACACACACACACCTCAATATGCACACTGTAAAGAAGGGAGAGAAGTAGGAGGGAGGGAAAGAAAGGCAGGAAAGAGACAGAGAGGGAAACAGGGCAGGGAAGACAAACAGAATTTTTACACCAAACCTTGCATGGGGACAACAGAAGGGAGGGCACACGTGCAGGAGTGCCAAAGTGAGAGGTGAGAATGAACACTACGTTTTCACTTTCCATGCCCCCAGAACTCCTCCTTCCTCAAGGCCCCATGTAATGTGTTAACTCTTACTGCATTCTCTGCTGTGAGGACTGCTGGTAGCCGCTGTGTCCTGTGAGTATCTGCCTTGTCTTACTGCTTTCATGGGAGAAGACAGAGACAGGGGGGCACACTTTTAAATCTTTTATAGGACATAGAAGTCTGCATGGGAAACGGCCTGCTCTCAAAAGCCTACTCCTTCCCTACACAACTCCACACACGGGTCAGTCAGTTGGGAGGTGCCCAGAACATCAAAGGCTATATTCAGATCCAAAGAGCATCTGGAGGCTACAAACCTGCTTCTGGCTTTCCTGAAGTTGAGAATTTTCATTCCAGGTATCTTTTATTTCTCCCTTAAGTCGTTCTTCATTTATTTCAAATATTCTAAGGGTAGTTTTAGCCTAAGTAAAAGAAATACACAGTTAATAACAGTTTAACAGAAAACCTCCTGTTTATGTATTCTCCGAAGAACATAAAATTTAAGCAAAGGCCAAAACATGCCACCATTAACAGCAGAGGTAGTATCAATACTGCTTTGATACAACACTCATTTGTCATGTGACTTTGAGCAAATTATTGAACCTTCCATGTACTATGGGGACAATTCTATTAAGTACTGAAATATAAAGAACAATTATTAGTTACTGAGTTATTGGTTTATTTAGTGACTTACTTAAAACACTGCTTGCTCTGCCTATTTGCCAAGCATTGCTTCACTTGGGACCAGGATCGGAATGACCTAGAGAAACAGCTGAAACAATGGGTTGTCGCCCTAGCGACCTGCTAGACATGTACACATCAGAAAAATCTTGCTTTCTTACCTGCCCACTTTGTGATGTTAGAAAAGAAACTGAACCCACAATTGAAGGCTTTCAGGAGGTGTCCTGGCTACAGTCCACTGGTGACATCTCTCTTCTACGCTCACTAATGCAGGAGTCATTGTTCCAGAACGATCCCACACTACTTACTCTTTGTTTCCTGCCCTAAACCTGATACTGCAGAAAACAACTCTGTTTACTAACGTTACATGTTACACAACTTTAAGAGTGCTCATATACAGCCATAGTTTAAATCTATCCAGGGGAAAAGGAATTTCATTCAAAGTAATTCTAGTTAAAACAAATGCAAATTGAAGATTCCCTCTATTTCAAACACTAATGTAATAGTTTATTACCTAATGTGATGGCTATTCTTGGTTGTCAACTATATCTGGAATTAACTAAAACCCAAGCAAGATGTGAGTAATGTTTCTTAATGAAATCATGTGAAGTGGGAAGACGACCTTGCATCTGGATCTTCTGAGGTGCTACACCTTCTGGCAGCAGCCTATCTGAGGACATGGAGGGAGGAAGCTTGTTTGTCCTCACCCTCACTGGCAAGTCCATTTCTTCACTGCATCACAGCTACTTCTTTGGGATTCCGGTGTATGCTGAGTATCAGGTCAGACATCCAGCCTCACAGACTGAACAACTACTGGATTCTTGAACTCTGTTGGTAGACTGCCATTGTTGAACTAACTGGACCGCAGCCTGACAATCACTCTAATAAATCCCCTTTAGATAGGTATGATAGATGTCATCCTGTTAATTATGTTCCTCTAGAAAACTCTGAATCATATACCTAATGATAATATGCAAACATAAATGTTCATCAAAAGTGACAGACCAATTAAGTAACTCAACTCAGCTAACTTAACTCAGCTAGTTGTGACGTGACAGACTTTGATTCATCTTCTAGAGATTGTATCCTTTTGGAAATGTCTGTCATCTGAAAACACAGTATCCGTCAGTAAGTATTTAATGAGTCCCTTTTGCTTCAAGACAACATGCATTACTTAGGTACCTTGTTAATTTACTATTAATAAAAGTGAGAGGCCAGATGAACAGACCTTGTCAGCTTGCTTACCGTGTGCTCACAAGATTTTTATAAATCATGTGATAATAGTATGTCTTCACAAATTCAATGTGTCACAGCCCTTTTCAGGTTCAAGATGAACCCACTAATTCACATTTTAAATAATGTCATACATATCAAGATTTTTTATGCCAGAATTTAAAGTAAAAAAGACCTAAAAATATTATAAGTTAAAATATATATATATTCCCTTCACTTTGATTATATAATTTATGTTATTAATGGCTACTTCTATGCCAAATATAGAAATTTTCCACATAAATCTACAAGTTAGCCAAATGTGGGCGTGCACACCTGTACTGCAAGCTCTCAGGAGGTACAGGCAGGAAGATCATGAGTTTGAGGCCAGCTATAGTCTAAGAGTGTCTCAACAAATGAAAACAATAAGAAAAAGGAATATGCAAAAAAACACTTATAATCATACCATCTAAAAAGTAAACATTTGATGGGAGATGGTGTTAAAAAACCTTTAATCCCAGTACAAAGGAGGCAAGGCAGGTGGATCTCTATGAGTCTACAGAGTAAGTTTCAGGATAGCCAGGGCTATTATACAGAGAAACCCTGTCTCGAAAAAACAACAAACAAAAAAGTGAAAAGATCAGATGTGGAAATTTTCTTCTCATGGTCTTCTACATTCTATTTTTACATACATGAGTTTCTTGTTTTGTTTTACTTTGCTTTGGTTACATTTATTATTTGGATGGTTGGTTCTGGAGTTTTATTTATTTATTTTCATTTATGTACATTTTTGAAGATACTGTATCCGCTCACTGTCAGGTCAGGATAACTTGGAAGACTTGCCTCCTCCAACCAAGTGCCAGGATTATAGATTTGTGTGACTATGGCTGGGTTAAATGGAATATTTTCATCAATATTGTATTAAAATGTAAGATCCTTAATTCTCTTGGAACACTCAGGACTCACCAATTGATCTTGTTCATAATGCTTAGCTCTCCCTTCTTCTAGTTTTTTCTCTAAAAGTAGTAGTTCATCTTCAAGTTGAGATTTATCTCTGTCTAGATTTTTATAGGTTGCCTAAAATAGAAAGTTAACAATTCAGATATAAGAATTTTTAGTTAGGGTAAAAAATCAGATGAGTATAATTAAATAAATTTATAAATACTTTATACATTTGCTATTTCTCTAACATCAAAATAACAGCAGGTCTAGCAGTAGCCAGAAACTTATATAAAAAGTGTAAGTAGTACAGGCTCCCATCAGCTAACCATCACAAACAAAGAGGACCCCTGAAGGAATTAATAAGGCTGCATTCCAATAAAACTTTTATGTACAAACACAGAAGACAGTGGGAAATCCAGTAAGCACAGCTTGTCAACAGTTCTAAAGCATGTTAAAAAGAATGTTACAGAGAAAAAGTACAAGTTTAATTTAATAGAAAAATAAATAAATAAATTTAAAACTCACAATTACATCATCGTATTTTCCATTGAATGATATTTTGTATAATATGTTTAAAGGAACTAATTATTACTTTGGTATTTGGATTTTACACACCATAATTAACATACCTCTGATATTTGTGTTCCTTCCACAAACTTGTTTAAAAGAGCAAATCCAAAATGTACTATAGTAGTTTCAAAAATGGTTTACCTATAATCTCCCGAAATTTGACTATTTCATTACAGGACTTCAGCCTTGAATCAAGATAGTCTATTGGTTTGATTTTTACCTGCAAAGTCAACTCTCAAGCTTTGTAAAACTTGTATTACACTATAGTTTATGTCCAGCTATGATTACTACCCCTAAATATGGTTCCAATTACTAAAATTAGATAATTTTCTAAGGTATTCATAGTGGCCAAATCTCAACTCATCTTACTCATAATTCACATAAATTTATTGTTATAAGAAGTATGTGTTTATATTACCTGTAACACCAAGTCTGAATAAATATTTGTCTTTTTTACCCAGTAACAACTTTTCTGTCAGTGTGCATGACAAGCAGCTTCTAAAACTCTTTATGTGTTGTGTGTGTGTGTGTGTATGTGTGTAGTATTTTGTTTTGATTTTGTGTACCTGTGTGTTTTGACATAGATTCAGCAAACCTCCCACATTAGCCCCACCTCCTCTATACCTGTCCAGTTTCCTTTCATTCAGGAAAACTAAAAGCTCCCATTGGATAGTACTTACAATAGAGGCCTGATAAATAACACACAGCAATCACAAAAGGTTCTTGAGGCTTACCGAATAAAACAGCAACTACAAAGTGTTCTCGACGATATTAAAGGTAACAAAGAAAAAAATTAAAGAATTTATTTGGGGTCTAAACTTCTTGTGGGTTCTACAAGGTCATTCTAAATCGTAAGACACAGACTTTCTACTGAGGATAGAAGATGACAGAACTGCCACACTAGACTAAACACCTAAATCAAAGGTACAAGGTATGTTTTCTATTTTATCATCAGCAGGAGAAGGCTGCTTCTACTTAAAACATACGCTCGCAACTCACTTTTTACAACCCTTCCATCTGCAAACAGTATCGAGGCACGTCATCACATCCTAATCTGTGTGCTAAGACAAATCATTGTGTCCTCTGAAGCAGGAGAGTTAACTGTATCTCTTCTAAACTCTCCATTCAGTGATATCATGTTACTGACTGAAATCTGGACATGATGGAGAATAGAGACAGGCACTGAATATTTATCACCACGCCACTATTTACAATGTAAACCTCTGGTCTGATTTTAGTTAATGCCTATTACCATGGTAAGGAAACAGATGATATGGTCACAGTTTACTTATCTCCTACTATTCTTAAATTTGTGAGAGTTCTGTGTCTCTTTCCTGAAGCAAACTATGTCAAAAAAAAAAAAAGAATGGTCTTTTCAATGCATTCTTAAGAGTACAGATAAAGGATTTCTTTCTATACATCTATAGATTCTGACGAACTGATTTTGTATCCCTCAAAACAAGTTAATAACAAGAGTTGAAATTCTTTTCCTTTTTAATGTTTTGTGCTACCTAAAAATGTCCTGTTTCCTCTAACTTTTTCTGTAAGGTTTAAGATCCAGATACACCATTTCATATTTCTCTGAAATTATTTTTTGAGAAGATAACCTATTTTTAATAAGAATCTTTTCCCTAGCTTTTAAATCATACTTTTTTTTTACCTCCAAACTCTGTGCTTCTGTGCCACCTTGTCAAAGTTGGCCTCTTTTAAAGATGACTGTAAACCTTCATACTGAATGAAACAAGGCAATACATGAGTAAAAACTACAAATTTTGTCTCAAATTGTATCTAAACAGATGCCAAAGCAGCAAATAGAATCTATCTCTACATATGTAAAATTGCCTTGGATTTTCTAAGCTTAGTTTTGCAATCTAATCACTGTGCCGAGCAAAGCCAGAACCACAAACACCACAATTACGAGCCTGGGCAACATATGGCAAAACTTTACCCTTGTGACTAGCAAAGATGTCCCAAGTCTGCATGGGGGTGAAAAGTCTAACAGCAAGAGTGACTAAAGCTTATCCAAAGAAGTGAGTCATCTATTATCCCCTGAACAAATCAACAGCTTCTCCAGTCTATCAATAGAGCAATGTGTAGTAACTGGCTATCAGACATTTACATCATGTGTCAAATAAGGCAAGTAAGGAAGATAAAACCTGTGAGTTTGACACCAGCCTGTTCTACAGAGCAAGTTCCAGGACAGCCAGGACTACACAGAGAAACCCTGTATCTTTAGTCTCAGCACCTCTGAATGTGTATTATTTGGGTACAAAGCCTTTAAAAATAACTAGGTTAAAATAAGGTGATGGGGGAAGTTCTTTTGTGCATATGTTGTCCTATTGGTTGATAAATATAGCACTGTTGGCCAATAGGGAAGCTAGATAGGTGGGACTAAGAGTCGAGGAGGATTCTGGGAAATAAAGTCAAGGGTAGAGAATTGCCATGTGATCCCAGGAAGAGAGGATGCATGAGGCTGCATCCTTGGTAAGATAGAACTTATAAAAATATATACTAGTAATTATGGGTTAATAATTAAGTCAGAGAGAGGTAGCCTTCAAGTTACCATAGCAAATGGCCAACAGCTTCATAAATAATATAGTGTCTCCTGTGTTATTTTGGGGCTGAGAAAGCCAAAGGACCCAGGTGAGTGGCGGGAAAAATGCACGATACAATAAGGCAGTGAAGATGACCCTAACCTAATATGACTGGTATCCTAAGATAAGAGCATTGGGATGGAGTGAGACATATCAAGCAGACTCTGCTATCTTCAAGTCAAGGGACAGGACACAGAGGAAGCAAAGTCTGCCTACATATCCATGGACTCCTTTCTAGAACTATAAGGAAATTCACTCCTGCTGCTAAAGTGGCATTTTGTCACAGCAGCCCTAGCAAGCTAATACAAAGTGCAAATGAAAACCGTGAATAAAGTCTCTATACAGTAACAAGCAAAAGTTCCATTACATCCTGGATAAGGGAAAATCTCAAGGCACATTGCACCACATTAAAATTGTAATTTTAAGCCTCTATTTCTAAGACACCAAACAAAACAGAAACATAAGCCACAGAGTAGAAGATATTTGCAATCTATATATCTGACAAAACTCTTATATATAAGACAGAACATATGAAAAACAAGAACCCTACTTCTGTACGACATAAAGGGAAAAAGATTATGAGTGCCTTTAAAAGGGTGGAAATGGGCCAGCCAGATGGCTCGGTAGTTAAGGAGCTTGCTGCAAAGACTGATAACCTGAGTTCAATCCCAGGAACCAGTCCTCCACATCCTATGATCACCACACAAATGCCTTCTTGGTACATACACACTCTCACGCAGACACAAATAGACACATACAATAATAATAAAGTCATGTTTTAAGGTGAAAAAGCCCTAAAGGCAGTTTCACAATATCCAAATGAGCAATGAGCAAATCAAGGTGCTCCCTCTCACTAGTCAGGGAAGACAAGCACCATACATCACCAGGGTGGCTGCAAAGAGAATGGCTAAGTGATGAAGGTGAGGAGCAGGGAGCTCTGCTCTGACACAGCTCTGATGACACGGAATCATCCGTGGAGAACTAGTAAGTGCCACACTACGATGGATGTTATTTTCAAACATGTCTTACCTCCTTCTGAGCAAGGCTCAATTGTTCAAGTAGTTTACATTTCTCTTTCATCAGAAAGGTCAACAGTCAGTCTTTTCTCTCTTACTGAGAAAGCAAAAGAAAGATTATTATGACTAAAGTGTGATCAATTTTTAAATTATATACAACCACAAAATCTAAAACCAAAATGACTACTTACCAATATAAAATCGGCTTTGAATCTGAAACAAATTTTTAACAAAATTACATTAAAACAAATATACATTCAAGTAAATCCTTATCATGTTTACTCCCAGCTGTAAGAAAACAACTTTCTTATGCCCTTAGGTCAATGAATTACCCAAAAGCATTCTATTTCCAATGAAAACAATGCTATATAGTAACACTGAAGATTTACACTGTGTGTTATAATATTAAAGTCCTGAGACAGCCTCATTCTAAAGACACCTACTTAATTCCACTTAAACCCTTCAGCTCTCAATGAAGAAGGGATAAATCCACCCTTGAGAGCATTGAGGCTAGGGTAAATCGATCAAGGGATGCAAACAAGATTTCAACCACCTAGAATACAAAGACAGAAAATCAGAAGAAAAAAATCAAAAGACCAGATATAGTGGGATATGTTTAAACAGAAGATAAGGGCAACACCAGTAGAGGGTCTCCTTTTGGAGGGAACTAAAAAACCATGAATAAAATTAGAAATGAAGTCAGAGTACAAGGGCCAACATCTAAAAAGAAGTCTCAGAAAGAAAAGGATAAAAAATTACATATATGAATAAGCAATACAGGATCCAGGACAGATGTACCTCTACACAGCAGGCCAGAAGGATGAAATCACGGATCATTAACTAAATATAAATGACAGTAGTGTCTTTTACTTTAAGTTGGGAGATAGATACATCTTCTGGCTTTTTAATACTGTTAAAAACAAACATAGAACTGCCCCCCCCAAAAAAGAAGAAAAAGGTAAATAAAGAAGAGTGGGGCTCTAGTACTAGTATATAGTATCCCTACGAAGAAAAGCCTTTAAAACAACCTTACATGCAAAAATATTTCTCTAAATCTGTATTCAGTTTCTAATAACTACATATTAACATGAGTAACCCAGAACACTATGATCTAACTTATTTCTCTGAAATAGCAAGTTTCTCCAATTAGTTGTTCAACATAAACACAGAATGAGGGTTAGAGAGATGACTCAGTGGTTAAGAGCACTTGCTCCTCTTATAGAGGACCAAGATTCAACTCCCATCATCCACACTGTAGCTCACAATCATCAGTAACTCCAGTACCAGAGGATCCAACAATGCCCTCTTCTCATCTCCGTGGGCACCAGGAACACATGATACACTTAGATGCAGACGCAGATGCAGATGCAGACGCACACGCACACGCACACGCACACACACACACACACACACACACACACACACACAGGCAAAGCAGTCATACACATAAAAGAAAATAAATTTTAAAAACAAAAACAGAAAAAAAACCAGAATGACCATTCTCTTATTATGAATGGTTACTTACTTTGTCTGCCTAAAACACCTGATTGGTCTAATAAAGAGCTGAACAGGCCAATAGCTAGGCAGGAGAAAGGACAGACAGAGCTGGCAAGAAGAGAGAATAACTAGTAAGAGAAACCTAGAGATGATCAAGTAAGAAACAGAAAAGAAGAGGAGGACATCAGGGGTGAGCCATGGACTGAAAAGGAAAGAAAGATATACAGAGCGAAGAAAGGAAAAAAGCACAGAGGGCAAACATAGTTAAAGAGAAACAGAATAATCTGAACTAGAAAAGCTGTCTAGAAAAAAGCTCAGCTAAGGCTAGGCATTCATAAGAATGAATCTCCAAGTATTTATTTGGGAGCTGAGTAGGGGACCCACCCAAAGAGGTTTTTAAAAAAAAAGCCAACTACAACAGATTATCAGCCTGGGTTGGCTGCTTTTCCCTGACTTCAAGTTAATGATTTATCTACATGCACTGGGTTTGACAAAACATTTCCCTGCAGAGGAAAAACACAGATCTGCAGCTTGTAGGTGGGGAAGGGGGAGTGGTCAGAAACGACTGACAGAGAGTTAGACTTCGGATTTAAACCTTTCCCTCCTTTCTCTTATCTTGAGTTAAAGCAGTTTTAGCCCAACAAGAAAACTGCTCTTTGAAAAACAACCCTAGGAATGATGAGCTTGACTCTTTCAGGCATCAACACACCCTCTAGAATCTCCAGAGCAGTCTTCCCCTTGGGGGTCTGACAAAATGAACAACAAAGCCTTTGATCTTTACTCTCAACGAAATCTGTTTTTAGCTAGATCACCCACAAGGTCCCCTTCCAAGCTGCTATCTACACTTTATTAACTTCTACCAAATAAACTCATGCAATATTATGTTCTTTTTCTTTTTTAATCACTGTATCGTTATTTTCCTTTTTACATCTGTGACTCCAGACAGGATCCAAAGAGGAGGTGCACAGCCTCTGCTCTGGGTTTGATGGAGAGTTCCTTTACCCTTCGTGTTAGCCTCTTAAGGTACAGTACCAACCTTAAAGGGCACAGAAAAGGGTGAAAAATCTTTCATCCCAATCCTTTCTCTCCCTTCCTCACCTGGGTCTGAGACACAAAAGTGTGGCATCATATTGCTAGGCAATGATAAAAAGGACTTGCCTCCAGGATCACAAGGACAGAGATTCAGTAAAGTCAACTATTTCCATCATCTCTCCCCAAAGACCATTAATGTATAACCAGGCCCTCCACATTCTTTCTGAATGTTCTTCCACACCTCACAGAGTAAGGCCTGCAGTTGATTGTGTACTTTACCTCTCTCCCTGTGTCCATCCTCCCTCAGTGGGTTATTCAAATCTTTATCACCAGGCCACAGATACTAATTAATCATAAACAAGTGGATTGACTACTCTGATATCAGATAAAAAGACAAAAACTGTTGCTGGAAACAAACACATGATGGCAAATGCTTGCTCAGTCTTTAAGACATAGGGTTTTACCGAACAAGAGAACCACAAAATGAAGTAAATCTGGTGAAGTAAAGGAAAAAGCAGACCATTCAGTAACAGTAGTTGGGGATTTCAAGATCTTACTTTCAGTGTGTCAGCATGAAGAACAAACACTGGAACAACACTACAAACCAGATAGGCTAACATACCAATAAAATACTACACAACAAACAGCAGAAAGACATTCATTCTCAGATGTACACGGAAGATTCTTCAGAACAAATCCACGAATCAAGCTAAAATAAACAATGTTTTTAAAATAATCAAATCCAGGGCCCAGCCCAGAGAAACTGCTCAGCAGCTGAGCACATTTGCTGCTCTTGCAGAGGACCAGAGTTGAGTTCCCAGAATCCACGTCAGGCATTCCTTAACTGCATGCCTATAACTCCAGTTCTGGGAAATCCCATGCCCTCTTCTGGCCTCCTCAGGCACTGAACCCACATGTGCGTGCATGCACACACACACACAAACACACACACACACACACACGCACATAATTTAAAATAGTAAAAATTCATTTAAGAAATCCAAATCCTGAGAAGCATGTTCTCTGATTACAATGAGTTAAAATTAGCCCTCAAAAACCAGGAAGGGCTGGAGAGGTGGCTCAGCAGCTAAGAGCATTTGTCTTTCTTGAAGACAGATGACCCAGGTTTGGTTCCCAGCATTCACATGGTGGCTCACCACTATCCATGACTCCAGTCCCAGGGGAACATCTGGCATCTTCAGGCACTGCAAACATGTAGAGCATGGACATACATGCAAGAGCAAAACACCCATGAACACAAAATAGATTTTTTTTTGTAATACAAATAAAATACTTTCAGATAAGTTGAAAAAATGCAACACAAAACTTACAGAAGGCAACAAATTTCCTGTGTAACAGAGAAATTTATAGTTGTAAAAGCCTTTTTAAAAAAGTTATGGGGGAGGTAGAGCTGGAAAGATAGCTCGGTAATTAAGAACACTAGCTGATCTTTCAGAGAACCTGGGTTCAATTCCCAGAACATGCATGGTGGCTCACAATAATTTGTAAAGAGATCTGGTGCCCTCTTCTGCCCTGCAGAGATATAGGCTAACAGAACAAGATATCCATGAAAAATAAATCTAAATAAAAATAAAACGTTATTGGGCCAGGAAGATAGCTCAGCAGTTAAGAACTTTGCCACCAAGCCCGAACACCTGATTTTGACCCCCAGAACGCACATGGTAGACGGAAAACAAGATTGTTGGGTCTTTGAATTCCCCCCTACACACACACACACACACACACACACACACACACACACGCACGCACGCACGCACGCACGCACACGCACGCACACACACACAAACACACAAGGATGTAATTTCCAATTTAAAAAAATCAATGTCATATAGAAACAAAATCTCAACAGATACTAATAAAATATTTAAGGAAATCAAACCAAACACCTTCTAATCATCAAGAGACTGCAAAGTACGATTACATTTCGCAATCTGACAAATAGCACCAATATAAGACCCACAGCTAACACCAACCTGAAGGTGAGACAAGGACTGTTCCCCTAAGACCAGCCACACATCCACACAGCCCACTGACCACAAAATCCTGCCAAGTCTGCAAAATCTCTCCATGTCACTCATTCCCAGCCTTATCAGAGCCAGGTGTTGGCAAGTGCTAGGCGCCTGCGTGTTTTATGTCTGCTGCATGAGCATGCACAGAGAAGTCAGAGGTTGATGTGGCAAGTCTTCCTCCTCCACCTTAACTTTTCTGAGACAGGGTCTCTCACTGAATCTAGAGCTCACACATTCTTTGCCAGGCTGATGACCAATGACCCTGGGATTCCTCTACAAACACCTCCACCCAGCATTCACATTGCCTTAGAGGACTCCAACTCCAGATCATGATTGCATGGCAAGCTCTTTCCCCACTGAGCCATCTCCCTAGGTCCTAACTGTTGATTAGGCAATAGGCTTCTACTGTGAATTAATCTTGTGTGTCATCTCCTTAAAAGCCAACATGATGACAATGACCACAATCCTTAGTTCATTTAGAACCTGCATAGAGCTTTTTCATTCATGGGCAAATGAACCAAGAGGAGGACAATACTACTTTAAATTCACATAACATGATGATAATTAAAACTCGTTAATCAGAACAGAAGTAATATTTACAGTTTTCAAAAAATTGTGTGTGTGTCCCTAAACGTGTCAACAACACAGCTACTACAAAAAAAAAAAAAAGATATATATTTGGAACCTGAGCATTCAGTATCTCTAGAGTTAACAGGAACACCTTTTATGGTAACAATACAAAAAGGAGGAAGGACCTGTACATTTAAAGCATTTCCAAAGGGCATTCTTTTGGAGGGAAAAATAAAGCAGAATTAGAATCTTAGCTCCGGCCCCAGCTTAGGTATCCTCTTAAGAAGTTTCATAACCAAGAAACCCCAGGTTCCTGCCGTCAGAAGAACCATGTTTAACTGACCCCTGTCCAAAACCATCGTGACTTCCGAATGCCAAAGCCCCCTTCCCATTGCAGCAAGCAGCAGCCTAGCATAGGTCAGATTTCCCTGCGAGCTTTTTCTTCCCAGCCAGGGATGCTAGCCCCCACCATTCCCAAGGTCTATAGAGTGAGTTCCAGGACAACCAGGACTACACAGAGAAACCTTGTCTAGAAAAATAAACAAACAAACAAAAACAAAAATTTGAGTACGGAATGTCAAAAAATGCTCAAACAATTTTCTCACCTGTGAAGTTACCTTTGCAATGTTTTTATAGAGATTGCAGTAGTCAGGGTTCTCTAGAGTCACAGAATTTTTGTAATGAACCTCTGTATGTGTATGGGAGGATGGGTTTGGAATTGAGTTTAATGACTTACAGGCTGCAGTGAATAGAAAGTTTAAGAATCTAGTAGCTGCTCAGTCTCAGGAGACTAGTTGTCTCAGCTGGTTTTCTGTATATGCTGGAATCCCACAGTAGGCTCCAATGCCAGTGAAGGAATGGATATCTAGCAAGGCAAGGGCAAGCAGGCAAATAGCCAAACCTTCCTTCTTCCATGTCCTTATACAGGGTTCCAGCAGAATCTATGGTCTTCCTGCCTCAAGACACAGATCAGAGGTGTGTCTTCCTACTTCAAAGGTCTGGACAAGAAGTGGAATCACCCACTTCAAGCACAGTAGAACATCTCTCACAGCTTTGAGCTACATTTCTGGTTTACAGATCATTCCAATTATTGTCAAGTTGACAACACAGATGGACACTAAAGTGACGCTCCAGAAGTCTAAGGCTCTCTTCAAAACACTTAATGATTCTGAAACTGAAGTTCAAATCCAAGTCTTACTTTCCTAATTTACTGTTACCACTTAGTGTTCACAGATGCTGATAAACATAATAATTACACAGAATTTATAGGCTAGGGTTCAGAGAAGTGACCTATCTTGAATACATTTTTATTAAAAGTAGCAGATGGAAATTCAGAGGTAACAGGATACTATTATCGGTAGCTTATTAGGTGCATGAAACCAAAATGCATTAAATGAAATGTATGAGTGGAATGGTCTTCTCTCACAGGGATAAAAACATCTAGAAGAGCCAGTTTCTTAGTGTGGGCAAGAGACTGTTCCAATGCTCTGAAGCAGCAAACACCATTGAGGAGTCCCCAACTATTACATAAAATCTCTTATTCCTTTCTAATTTCAATGCCTCTTACAACTTGAATGCGCTACTTCAAATGCTGAGAATCTGAGGGGCTATGTCTTGAAAACTCCTTTCTTTGGGGTACATCAAACTAAAGAAAAGCTCTCCTCTCCTACTTGTCCGCAGGAGTACTAGTTAATATTAAAATATTTATTTTAACTCTTGTTATTTTATATATGGGTGTACACTATTATAAAGGTATATATACACTGATAGACAATCCAAGTCTATGAGGCCCTCTTCAAAAACACTTCAATGACTTTCTGAAGGTGAAGATCAAAACCTGTCTAAACTTCCTAATTTGCTGTTGTTGCCACTAAATGATTATTAGCTATTAATAAAACATATTAATTATACAGAAATTTTCAGACAATGTCCAGAGACCTTTTAAGTCTGGGTACCCACCCAAAAGATAACAATTAACCTTTTTTCTTCCTGCCTCTCTGAGAACAAAGGGTGGGGCTGTCATAACTAATGTCTGTACCCCCTGGCACATAGTAGGCTCTTAATATTTAGAAAGAAAAAATATACCCTATATTTTCTTTAATAATCACTTTGTTTTTCAAGTTAGGAGAATTCTACCAAGGATGCCTCAAGGATGATACTATATTATAGTGGATTTAACTATTTCACTCATTCACTCATTCATTCATTCATTTTTTGAGACAAGATTTCTCTGTGTAGCCCTGCTAGCCTCAAAGGCCAAAATGTACCTGCATCCCAGTGGTGGGATTAAAGGCATTGGTTACCAAGTTTGGCACCTTTTTTTTTTAACAACTTATTTCAACTGAAACATTTGTCATAGGTATGAAAGCTAACACAAAGGACAATGAAGTAGACACAACCAAGAAATGGCCAGTCAACAAAGTAGCAAGAATGCAGGACAGTGGTGGTGGCTGCCCACCTTTAATCCCAGTTCTTGGGAGGCAGAGACAGGCAGTTGGATCTCTGTACCTGGAGGCCAGTCTGCTATACAGAGTTAGTTCCAGTACAGTCAAGACTGTTACAGAAAAGCCCTGTATCGAAAAAACACAAATCAAACAAACAATAAAACAAACTTATAAGGAGAGACAGAACCTAGAATTGTAACGAAGAACCAAGTCCATAAAAAACTCTGGCCTGATGAAATGCTGAATCTTAAAAAATTGTAGCATCCCAATTCAGAGAAGCTTGCATGAAATGTGTACACAGGGAAGACAAACATCACCTGGATGATGTTAGTATGTCCAAATCTACTATTAAAGAACTGCACTCACCTAGCATGTATGACATTCTGGGAATGCTCCTGAAAAGAGTATTTTTAATGAGTGAGCCTATTATAAATTCTCCCAAAATTTACTGATAACTTTAAGAGAAACCCTAAAAACAAAACAAAAACAACAACAAAAAACCTTAGTTTAAAAAGGTTTCATTAAAGCTTAAAAGAAAAGTCTCATTTATATTTTTACCATTTGAATACTTCCACTATCAGAGTATTGAGACGGTCCCCAAAATAAAGATGACATTGACTTATTTCCAAACATATAAACACAGACTTTTCTTTGAGAGAAAGGGTCTTGTGTATCCCACCTTGGCCTTAAACCAGCTATACAGCCAAGGCTGACATTGAACTTAGATCCTTCTGTCTCTAACAAGTGTTAAAGTACAGGTGTGTAACAATTGCCAATTTAAGTGGTGTTGGTGACTGAACCTAGGGCTTCCAGTATGCCAGAAAATAACTCTAACCAATGCTACACCCCAGTCCAACATAAATTAGTTTAAAAGGAATAGCATGTGCACAAACAGTGCAGTTGCGCACACACGGAGACAGACAGACAGACAGACAGACAGACACACACACACACACACACTATTCTATCAAAGGAGCAGTGTACAGTTCCATCACTACAGCAGATAAGCAGAGAAGAGATTAGCAGACCCAGAAGGGCACACACACGTGGCCTCACAAACAAGTATATTTAGCACAGAAGACTACATGGTAAGGGTGAAAGAGAAAAAGAGAATTAAAGACAAAATGTGGTACACTACTATTGTGTATACATGCTATATATCCACACATAAGTTATTAAAATACCTAAAAGAACTGTGAGGAGTGGTTCTTACTGGACGCACAGCTGCCATGCATAGCTGTCACCACGCACAGCACAAGATTAATTTCTTGTAGATTCATTCTCGTGATTGTGGACACCAGCAGTAAAACTACTCACTCCCTCACTACGAATTACTATTACCAAGGGTCAAGTACAGAATCAAGAAAACGGTCTTGCTTCTTGCACAGGCGTCACTCAACTCACAACTCTTCCCATGCATAAAATAGAATGACAGTGCCCGGTAGCTCTATGCCATGGCCAAGAACGAATGAATGAACCCTGCCTGGGTGGCGCCTGGAATGGTGTCTAATAAAGTCTCAGGTCAAGTGCCTTTATCATCTCCTGTCTCGGGAAGCAGCCGGGTCAGGACCCATCGCTGCGTCTACAGAAGGCCACACCGGCCGGCGAATCCCACGGGTTCCTCCCAGGCGGGGGAAGGGAGAGACCCTCGCGGTCCCCACGCAAGCCTACCTGTTGTTCCGGATGCTGAGCAGCACGCAGGACACCAGCTCCAAGTAGATGCGCAGCACTTCCAGCCAGCGAGAGGACAGCTGCATGGCCTCGCCTTCCTCGCCTCCCGTGCCCGTGTGGGCGCCGCCACCGCCGCCACCGCCGCCGTCGCCCGGGCCGCCGCCTCCGCTCAGGTAATTCTCGGCGGCGAACTCCACCCGCAGCTCCCGCACGAACCAGCCGCACTTGCGCATGAGGAACTCCAGCCGCGGCTGCTCCGCCGGCGAGACGCGGAGGCAGACGCGGAGCTGGGGCCACAGCGCCGGGTAGAAGAGGCACTCGCGCCAGTGCGAGCAGGAGGCTGAGGCCCGCAGGCGGTCGGGCGGCGGCAGGAAGGAGAAGATGTGCACGATGAGCTCGCTGGGCAGCGACGCGGCGCCGGCCGCCTGCCCGCACAGAGCCATCCGGCCCGGCCGCCCGGCCGCCCGCCGCCGCCGCAGTCCTCGCAGCAGCCCCCGCAGCCGGCGTAGCTGCCGCAGCCGCTGCCGCCGCCACCGCACCCCCCGGGCGGCCCCGGCTCGGGTTCGCGCTCCCGGCGGTCGCGGCTGCGGCACTGACAAGAACAACAACATCAATGACAAGGAGGAAGGGGGCGGAACCGTCGTGCGCCTCGGCGGAACCAAGTGCAGCGGGAGTCGGCGGACAGGGGGACGAGCTCGGGCGGGGAGGCCTGCTCGCCGCCGGCTCCCGTACCGCACGCAAGGACGCCCCGGCCAGCCCAGTTAACAACCTCCAAAGCCTCGCTGCAACCGACCCGGGGCGGAGGAGGCCGCGCCGCCTCGGAGGAAACCGCAGCTCTCTGCTATCCGGAAGCCGTGGCCTGGGAGTGGTAGGGACTGAGCCTGACGTCAGCGGCGGAGGGCGGAGTCTGGCGCCATCGTGCGCGACTTCCGGAACCAGGGAGCTCCTGTTTGCCTGGATGTTGAGCTAGGTCAGGCCTTGTAGTGTGCTCATGGCGGCACCCAGGCAGGATAGGAAACCTCCTGACGTTTTGCCATTCGCTAGGCTGAGATCTCTTGGACCGAGGACCCTGGCCATCATCTTTTTCCATCCTCTCTGCTCATAGTAAGACAAAGTTGACTACCATTAGGGCTGGTCTGGGCAGCATAAGGGCCTGTGTCCTCTGACATGCAAGGCCTTTGAAGCCCCAATGAGGAACAAGGAGTGAGGACAGCGCCACCCTTTGTCCTCAGAGGGGCAGGATCTCCTGGCCTGGGAACTGAAGTCAGGTCGACTTGCCACCATGGACCAAGCAATCCAGACTCTACTGACATCCCTTTGCTGGTCTTGTCCCACTCAGGGCAGAGTCCCAACCCCAATCAAGGAGATGCTGACTTGCCCCAGGCAGATCGAGCCATCCAGAGGCTGCTGACATGACTGTGCTAGGCCTGCCTCCACCCACCCAGAGAAAGAGACTATCTGGACCCTCCTGCACACAACTGAGACCCATTTGAGAATTGGATCTGCTTGCACCCACCTGATGAGAACCTTGGTCCCATACCCACCAGAAGAGGAAGAGACCCAACCTACACCTCCTGGAAGAAGGGTTGGGAAGACAAGAATATAAGAACACATTCAACAACAGAAAAACCAATATGATGCTAAAAGAGTCTAGAGATTCTACACCAGAAAGACCTGAACAGCCCATCACAGATGAAGCAGAAGAGAACGACCTTAAAAACAAGTTCATGAAGATGCCAGACACACTAAAAAAGAGGAGAAAATCCTTTAAAGAAATGGAGATGGAACAAACAAAAAATTTCCAGAAATGGAAGAAAAGACCAACCAAAAATAGCAAGAAACAATTCAAACAGTGCAAGGGTTGAAAGTTGAAATAACACACAATTAAAAAACAAACACAGTCTTAGGGATTGCTGCATTTGGAAAATCTGGGTAAACAGGAACTACAGATGAAAGAATAACCAACAGAATACAAGAGATATAAGAGAGAATGTCAAGCATTGAAGATAGACTAGGAGAAATAGATTCATTGATCAAATACAATCTTAAGCCCAACAAATCCATCACACAAAATATTCAGTAAATGTGGGACACTGTGAAAAGACCAAATCTAAGAAAAATAGGTAGAGAAGAAGGTAAAGAATTCCAACTCAAATATACAGAAAACACATTTAAAAAATCATAAAATAAAATTTCCCCAACATGAAGAACATGCCTATAAAAGTACAAGCAGCTTACAGAACACCAAATAGACTGGACCAAAAAAGAAGAAGAAGAAAAAAAAAAAGAGTCTCCTCACCACATAACAATATAATAATCAAGACCCCAAACATACACAATAAAGAAAGACTATTAACAGCAGCAAAGGAAAAAGGCCAAGTAACATTTAAGGCAGATCTATCTAAACTAAACCTGACTTCTTCATGGAAACTCTCAAAGTCAGAAGATCCTACATAGATATTCTGCCAACACTAAGAGACCACAGATTCCATCCCAGATTACTATACCTAACAAGACTCTCAATCACTATAGATGGAGAAAACAGGACAGTCCATGACAAAACCTTATTACCCAATGCATATCCACAAATCCAGTTCTACAGAATGGTCTGGAAGAAAAACTCCAACTCAAGGACATTAATTACACTCACAAAAACATAGGCAATAGATAATTTCACTTTACCAAAACCCAGAAATAGGGGAAAATCTCACACACAATACCACCATGAAAAACAAATCCAAAACAAAGAATCGGCAATCAATGGTCATTAATACCCCTCAGTATCAATGGTCTTAACTCACCTATAAAAAGACACATGCTGACAAATGGATGCAAAAACAGAATCCATCCATCTGCTGCATAGAAGAAACACATCTCAATGTTAAAGACAGATGTTATCTCAGAGTTAAGGGTTGGGAAAAAAGTTTCCAATCAAATGGCACTAAGAAGCAAGCTGATGTATCTATCCTAATATCTTATAAATTAGACTTCAAACTGAAATTAATCAAAAGAGATGAAGAAGATCATTTCATATTCATTACAGAAAAGTCCATCAAGATAAAGTCTCAATTCTGAACATCTATACACCAAAGATACCCACATTGGTAAAAAGAAACATTGCTAAAACTCAAATCACACATTAAACCCTACATACTTATAGTAGAAGACATCAACACCCCACTCTAACCACTGTACAGGACTACTAGACAGAAACTTAACAAAGAAAGGAACTAACGGAAATTATGACCCAATTGGATTTGACATGTACATCATAACACAAGAGAATATACCTTGTTCTCAGTGCCACTAGAACCTTGTCTAAACTTGAGCACATGCTAGACAATAAAGCAACCTCAATAGATAAAAAAAAATGGAGAAACCTGTAACTTATGGGACACACAAATTACAGAAACACCACGAACTCATGGAAATTCAACAATGCTCAGATTCATCACTCCTGGGTAAAGTAAGAAATGAAGCAAGAAATAAAAGACTTCGTAGAATTCAATGAATCTTAAGCTCAACATACCCAAACCTTTGGGATACACTGAAAACCATACTAAGAGGAAAGTTGATAGCACAAAGTGCCCACATGAAGAATCTGGAGAATAACCACAAAAGAGAATTAACAGAACACCTAAAACATCTAGAAAAAACAAAGCAAACTCACCCAGGAGAAGTAGATGCCAGGAAATAATCTAATTGAGAGCTAAACATCAATAAAGTAGAAACAAAGAAAACAGTACAAAGAATCAATGATACAAAGAGTTGGATGGAGAGCAGGATGAGAGATAACATAATAGAGTCATTTTAGGTTTGAGGAGAAACCTGGCACTGGTGAAATTTCCAGAGATCTACAAGGATGACACCAACTGGAAAACTAAGCAATAGCAGAGAGACTCCCTCAAATATCCCTCCCAGAAGAGTTTGATGACTACCTTATATACGATCCTAGAAGCTTCATCAAGTGACTGATGCAAGCAGAGGCAGATACCCACAGCTAAACTGAAGTGAACTCTTGCAACCCAGTGACAGAGAGGGAGGAGTTATGAGCAAAGGGGTCAAGACCAGACTGGTAAAATCCACAGAGACAGCTAACCTGAACAAGAGGGAGATCTTGGACCCCAGACTGATGGCTGAGAGGCCAGCATGGGACTAATGCAGACCCCCTGAATTTGGGTGTCAGTGAGGAAGTTTGGGCAATCTATGGGGCCATGGGAAGTATATCCGTGTTTATCCCTGGCATACAAATGGACTTTGGATACCCTTCCCACACTGATGGATGCTCTCTCAGACTGGACACATGTGGTAGGGCCTAGGCCCTGTCCTGAATGAAATGAAAGACACTGAAGATCCCCCATGTAGGGCCTCACCCTCCCTGGAGAACAGAGTGCATATTGAGTGGGTGGCGTTGGTTGTGGGAGGGATGGAGATGAGTGGGAGGAAGTTGGGATTGACATGTGAAGCAAGCTTGTTTCTAATTTAAATTTTAAAAGATTAAAAAAATATAGAAGGTAGGTAGTACCCTTAAAGAATTGATACAGTAGAGGGCTTCCTGAACATATCATCAGTAGCACAGACACTGAGATCCACAATTAATAAATGGAACGGCAGGAAACTCAGAAGCTTTTGTAAGCAAAAACCACAGACAACAAAACAAAACTGTAGCCCACAGAATGGGAAAAGATATTCAGCAACCCCACATCTGACAGAGAGCTGACAACCAAAATATACAAAGAACTCAAGAAGCTAATCACCAAGTATCAAATAATCCAATTAAAATGTTGGGTACAGAACTAAATGGAGAATTCTCAATAGAGGAATCTTTGATTGCTGAGAGACACATAAGAAAGTGCTCAACATCCTTAACCATCAAGGAAATGCAAATCAAAACAACTGTGAGATACCATCTTGGTCCTGTCAAAATGGATAAATTTTTTTTTTAAATGACAGTTTATGCTGGAGAGGATGAGGAGAAAAAGGAACACTCATCCTCAGCTAGTGGGAGTGTAAACTTGTACAGCCACTATGGAAATCAATATGGCATTTCCTCAGGAAAATGGGAATCTACCAGGAAGAAGATCCAGCAATTCCACTCTTAGGCATATACCCAAAATATGCACATTCATACAACAAGGACATCTCTTCTGACATGTTCATAGCAGCATTCTTTGTAATAACCAGAACCTGGCAACCTAGATGCCCCTCAACTGAAGAATGGGTTGAGAAAATGTGATACATTTACACAATGGGAAAAAAAACAATGGAATGTTGAAATTCCCAGGCAAATAGATGGCACTAATAAGAAAGCATCCTGAGTGAGGTAACTCAGTGGAAAAAAAACAATGGAATGTTGAAATTCCCAGGCAAATAGATGACACTCATAAGAAAGCATCCTGAGTGAGGTAACTCAGTGGAAAAAAAACAATGGAATGTTGAAATTCCCAGGCAAATAGATGGCACTAATAAGAAAGCATCCTGAGTGAGGTAACCCAGTCACAAAAAAGACAAAAATGGTGTGTACTCACTCATATGGATTTTGGTCATAGAGCAAAGGAGTACCAGCTTCCAATGCACACTGCCAGAGAAACTAAGAAATAGGTAGGACCCTAAGAGAGACAAACATACATGATCCCCAGAGAAGGGGTGCAGCCTTCTTGCCAACCTGGTTCGAGAGCCATATCAGTCCCAAATGAACATACAGGCGGCTACATTAATTATGAAGCTGTTGGCCATTTGCTTGGTTTCTTACTGGCTATCC